CCGGGCCAAGCCGAGGGGCTCCGGCCCGGAGGGGGGGCCCTTCCGGCGCCGGGTTGGAGGTCCACCCGGCTCCGGATTTTGGCATCTCCACCCGCTTTTATGCCGAGGCGCGCTTGGCGCCAGCCTTGGGCGTCCCACGCAGCCCTTCGAAGCGAGGCCCGGCTCCCTGCGTTATTATTTAATTGCAGCTACCCCCCCCCCCCCCAAAAAAATTCACTTCGCACATGCACGTCTTCTTCGCCCTTTGCCTATTTGTTTTCACAGAACTAAATGGCTCATACTATGTGAAATCGAGACACTGTAGGTTTGTGCAACTATGGAAAGTGAGTGCCGGGAAGGACTTTCAGGGTGATTGATCCCAATCCCTTCATTTTGCAAAGGAGAAAACAGACCCCGAGGGGTAACATGTATTGGCCCAGCTAGATAATGGTACAGCAGGCGTGAGAACCCAGAGCTGAGTTTTTACATAGACTTACAAATGGTCAGTAGTGAGTGTCAGTCAGCAAGGTGAAGTGAATAGCAGGTTCGTTTGGTGTGGGCGTAACCTTGCTAGTGCTTCCTCCTGTTAAACATGGTTTTCTTGTTTCAGGCTTCATTCTTCTTGGTTTCCGAAGAAAATGGCAGAAGCAGCGTCAGAGCCTCCCGGGCAGCTCGTCGTGCACTCAGACACTCACAGTGACACTGTCCTGGCCAGTTTGGAGGACCAGAGGAAGAAGGGCTTTCTCTGTGACATCACTTTGATCGTGGAGAACGTGCATTTCCGGGCCCACAAAGCCTTACTGGCGGCCAGTAGTGAATACTTCTCCATGATGTTTGCTGAAGAGGGGGAGATCGGCCAGTCCATTTATATGCTGGAGGGCATGGTGGCCGACACATTTGGTATCCTGCTGGAGTTTATCTACACGGGTTATCTCCAGGCCAGCGAGAAGAGTACAGAACAAATCCTGGCGACTGCCCAGTTCTTAAAAGTCTACGACCTGGTAAAGGCTTACACGGACTTTCAGAATAACCATAGCTCCCCAAAGCCAGCGACGTTGAACACAGCTGGTGCTCCAGTGGTTGTTATTTCTAATAAAAAAAATGATCCGCCGAAGCGGAAACGGGGAAGACCAAGAAAAGTCAACAGTTTGCAAGAGGGGAAATCGGAACTGGCTGGGGAGGAAGAAATACAGCTGAGAGTGAACAACTCAGTTCAGAACAGACAAAACTCTGTGGTTAAAGAGGGAGACAATGGGGTACTGAATGAACAGACCGTAGCGAAAGAAATGGAAGAATCTGAGCCTGCTTGTGAGCCAGGTAGAGGGGAGGGAACACCCGCTGAAAAAGATGAGAACTGTGATCCTAAGACCCAAGATGGGCAGGACCACCAGACTCGGTACAGCAAGCGGAGGATTCAGAGATCCATCAAACTGCGAGATTACAAACTTGTTGGGGATGAAGAAGATCAGGGGTCAGCCAAGAGGGTCTGTGGAAGGAGGAAGCGCCCCATTGGCCCTGAGGCCCGTTGT